ACTCAAAATTTCAAGGTCAAGTTGAAGTAGGCAAAATTCTCTAGAAAGCTATGAAAAAATAACTTTTAGAGAGGATATCATCAGTCAAGGAGAAGGAAAATAAGTCCTTTGACTGGACCAGAGCTTTTTTGTTTCTCTACTATAATTAAAAGGTAATAGGTACTTCACTATAGTCCTTTTCCCTTTAAGAACTTTCTTGCCATTGATAATAAAGGTGTGAACTAAACTTTGCAAATCACAAGAGTTCAGTTTGTCTAAAGAAGATTATAAATAAGATAGGGAGGAAATGAGAGGGTTTTGAGAGAACTCTTTGAGTTGATTTAAAGAAAGTAGTAAGACTTTATTAGTATAAAAGTATCAAGACTTCTTGCAAATATCTTTTTTGTATATAGTTAGAGAACTAGTAGAAAGAGTTGATTTTGAATAATATAAATAACATATTATGTATTATATTATTATTATTATTATTTTTTTTTTTTTTTTTAAAGTCCAACTTGACTGGAGTAGATTTTTATTAAGTATTTTATAATAGTACAGTATTAATTATATGAGAGATTCATCTAACCTATTTTTTTATACTATCTACCCAATTGAGTACTCCATTTTTGCCACAATGTGATACCATTTTATCAGTTGTCCTGCTATGCCCAGGTCACATAACATCTGAAGTCCACTATGGGACTTATATTATTTTTATTTTTCAGGGGACTTGAAATGTGTGTTCCTTAGTTCTTGATACTTTGTTTTCACATTCTTGTTTTATATGTACCATAATAGATCTTTACTGTATTTAGTTCTTAGAAGGCTGGTTGTACTCTGATATATGCAGGTTCTACAATCTTGTGCTAACATCCTAATGATTCAATGGTGTTGCTTCATTAATCGACCAATGGTCTTCCATTGCTTCATTCTTAACCACTCTTTAAATATAGCTTACAGGGGTTTTCCTTGGTTGTTACTTTCTGAATTATTTCTTCCAAATTTCTAGTCTATCACTGCAATTCTCATCATGATGTTAATACTAATTACTAGCCTCACAGATAGCTGTCCTCTCTGGTAACCATTGGTTTTATGATTGTGATGAGATCTCCCATTAATTTGAGTTACAATGTATATGTTTTCAATTGGTACAGATGACCGAAGTCTTCCAGATCTCCTATAAGGATGTTTTTTGAGAATAGATAGATGTCTTCACATTTTCATTAGAGGTTTGAGTTCATCGGGATTTTTCCTGGCTTATTTTGATATCTTTACATATTTCAGACAATAGAATCCTGTGATTTCCTTAGCACTAAAACCAACCAAGGCTATATGACCTAATTTATTATACCATGATCGGACAGTATGATTTTATAGGTTATATTTATGTATAAAGATGCATGTGGCGATGAGCATACATCTTGTATAACATAACCTATATTGCAAATACTGTTCTCAAATGAGATTGAACCAGTAACTCACAAATGGTAACTTAGAAATGCTCTACTATACTATTTATCCATAGGTCAATATATTATATTATAATTTGTATTATTTATAATTTATAAATATAATCTCAATTCAAAAAAATTTGTATATAAATTTATTAATTTTTTTTACTTTATTGCTAATAAATAGTTACTAAATTTTTAATGAATAATTAATGAACCTTTAATGAATAATTTAATAAATAGTTGTTGAATTTTTAATAAATTATTAACAAATTTTTAATAAATAGTTTTGATGAATAGTTATTAAATTTTTAATGAATAGTTGATGAATTTTTGACAAATTATTAATATATTAATACTAAATTTTTATTGAATTGTTAATAAATAATTTTGTAATAAACTTTTAATAAATTTTTTTCTAAATTGTTAATAAATTATTTGATGGATTGTTAATGAATTTTTTTATAAATTGTTAATATATCAATTTTTGTAATATTTTTAGTTGAATTATTTAATTGTCAAATTATTTATATTATTTTTTAGCTGAATTGTTTATTTTTTGCTGAATATTATATAAGTGGCAATATATCAAATAATTTTTTTCAACTAGTAAATATAAATAGTCTATATAATATTATAAATATTTCTAATATCTCAATAAAAATATACTATAATGATATACAGTAGTTATGAGTTAAAAAAATTTTGATAATATATAATTATTTCCAAAAGTTTAAGCAACTTATTATATTTTTATTATAAGTTTCAATTTAATATTTTTAAAATCTTTAATTATATAATCAAAAATTATAAAAATATATATTATATCTTAATACTTATTTTTTTTTAAAAAAAATTTTTTATAAATACTTTTTAAAGATTTAATATTATTAAATATTTTTATTTTTTTATTAATTATTATATAATTTATAATATTAACCAATTAAAATTCTTTAAAAATAAAAATTTATAAAAGAAGAAATTTTTTAACAATAATAAAAGTTTAAAAAATTATATATAAAATTTTGAAAAAAATATAATAAATAAAATTAGTATTAATATATAATATATATGAACTTTATAATTTTTTGTTATATAATTAATTTAAAAATTGTTAAAGTTAAAAATTTTTGGGTACAAATTCTTTCTGTTGATTCTTTAATTATATACAAAAAATATGTTCGCAAGAAGTTTCAATACTTCTTTGCTAAAAAAGTCTTATTACTTTTTTTAAACTAATCTAAAGAATACCTTTAAAGCTTTTTCATCTTTCATATATTTTGTTTATAATCTCCTTTGAACAAACTGAATTCTTGTGACCTACAAAGTTCAATTTTCACCTTTACTATCAAAAGCAAGAAAGTTCCTAAAGAAAAAAGGACCAATAGTAAAGTACTTTTCATCTTTCAACTATGGTAGAAATAATAGAGATTATATTTCAATCAAAGAATTCATTCTTCTACTCTTTAACTAGTGTTGTGACCTTTTAAAGCTATTTTTTTCACAACTTTTTGAGAAATTTTACTTACCCAGCTTAATCTTAAAATTTTGGATAGCACAGATCTTACTGATTTTGATTGATTGATATGAAACATATTGAAAAGATTAATAAACAAGCTTCTATTAATCACACCACATATCTGAATACATTTCCTTAGCTTCATAAGAACTTGAGTTTATTATAAAACATATGTGTTAATGTGAATAGATACAGAACATACTATCAATATATCATTGGATACAAAAAAAAGTCTATCTGACTATAGTAAAGGTCACAAGATATTCGATTGCCTTTTTTTCAAGTCCGAGCTACCTGCATTCCAATTGTATATCAAGTAGGTTTTGATCTCTACTACTCTTAAAAGTCTAAACCAGAGAAAATATGAAGCTATTAGGGATACTCAGTTGTAAAACTTATGTGTAAAGTAACTCAAAAAGTTTTTATTCTATCTTCAAAAAATTCTAAGCTAGAAGACGGGAAGATTAACACTGCTATATCAATTGAAACTCGAGTTCAAAAATATTAGTAATGATGTGCAAGCTGGCTGGAATGTCTGAAAGATTATCATTGATTATTAGTATCAATGATTATTAGCAAGGTATATCCATCACAAGACTAGGTACTGTTCTTCTTATAAAAAATTAAATCTGAAATAAGATGTATAGATGAGTAAGTATATTCATATTTAAATAGGAATAGGTTTAATTAATGATATACTGAAAAACTTTCAAGTCAATCATATGGATATCAATATATCACCTAGGCCTTCCTAGTTACTCCCTTCCCATAAGCCTTAAAACTATATAATCTCTCTTTTGGCCTTCACCTTATCTCTATAAAGACTCAGTAGAAGATTTCCTCCAAACCTTCCCATAGGAGGAACTGGAACAAGACAGGCATGTGCCAAGAAACAGGATCGATATATCACACATGACTGTCCAATTTTTATTTTTATTTTTCTTTTATTTTCATTTATAACACCAATATACTCTAGGGATACTGGTTTTTCTTTGATAAAAGAAAGGGCAATAAGCCTCAAAGTAACTTTAGAAATAACTTTAGTTTATCGTTATTTTTATTGACTTCAAATATATATCTATGTATTCATGTTTTGCGCAATATACACTTATAATTTGGAAATTAATAAAGTTAGGCATAAGCCTGTCAAAAAAAAAAAAAAAAAAAAATTAATAAAGATAAAATTTATAATAAAAATATAGTAAGTGGACTCAAACTTTTGAAAGAAATTGTATAACAATGAATTATTTATTGTATCAATAATTAATATAATATTGCAAATATTTATTTAATATTTCAATAAAAATACATTATAATGTTATAATTATAAGTTAAAAATAAAAATAATATTTTAATATTTTGAAAATAAAAAATTCAATATGTTTTGAAAAAATCAATATACTATAAAACAATTTTAAATAAAAAAAACAATACTTCAAATAATTAATTAATTTAATAAACTATTTTTGTAGTTTTATTTTAATGTTTTTTATAGGTATTATTTTTATTTAATATTTAACTGTAAAATATATTTGCTGATCGATTATTTTGTAAAAAAAGGTTTATGATCGAAGATATTCATTTAATTACTGTATATACAGTAATTGCGCATACTTAAAATTTTGTTTAGTCTAAGAATTTATATATAATTATAATATTGGCATGCAGAATTGGTTCATTTAATGTACATAAATATGCGTAATGGCAAAATGAATGGGTGACCAAAGAATAAGGATGTCAGCTTGAACAGATAGTGAGTCTCCTTATAAACATCATATGTGCGGAAAAAATCTGGATTTTTCTACAAAATGAGCAACTTGTATCGCTCGAATCTAAGGTATCAACACATACTGTATATTATATAGTATATTTTGTTTTGATATATACAGTATAAAAGTTACGTATTACCAAATAAAAATTTTTTTCCGCATAATATACTGTATACGTAGCATGGAAATTTTCTATATAAAAGAGCGAATCCGTATTCTCTCATTTTTCAAAAATCAATAAACAACAAAATATAATTTATTACATTATTATAATCATAAATAATGACAGAATTAAACGGACGTGCTTCTCAAAATATTACCAATTCGACTTCAAGTGCTTGTAATATTCACCAGCAAGTGCAAATAATTGCGGAATCTGTAATTACTTCTAAACAAGCAGAGCAATTCATCCATGGAATAGAGTTGAAAAGTAAATCGCCATCGCAACCAATACGACACGAGTATTGGACTGACGGGTCGTTAACAATTTTTTGACCTAGAAACAGCCACTTTTACACGTAATGCGGATTTCTTCGGTCGTCTCTCTTCGCAAATTTTCGAATATCTATCGTGATAATATTTTTAAAGCGTCCACCGTAAATTAAACATCGTTTTTATAATTCAATTCAAATATATCGTTTCCCCACATTCAACTTAAAAAAGGCAAACATTTCGTAGACATTTATAAGATTTCTAAGCTTCATTTCTTTGGTGGAAATTTACATTCGATTATGTATTTATTAATAATAATGGATAAAAACCAATAATTGTTGTAAGGTACCTTATCTTGGCAACCGAATAGGTAGTAAGATCACACTAAAAAAAAAAGTGCAAATTAATAATATTAGCTATAGACATATGTAAATAGGAATATTTATAAGTAACCAATCGACTAAGATAAAACGGCTGGTATTTCTATAAAAATAAATGCAATAAGATTCCAATTGTCTTTATAGCTGATTGTTAACTCCTTTATGAATAATAAAGAATAATTAATATCTTTTATCAACATAATTTTCGCTCTAAGATTATTCATGAATAGAATGTAACATCACAAATCTAATTATTTAAATAAAAAGATAACATATTTCTTATAAAAAACCCAGAATTAATTGACAATAAATTCCGCTGTCGTTGAGCAGTTCTGATTTTCTAGATTTCCGATCAAATCCAAAATATTTCCATAAAAGCCGAAATGAATGGTTGTCTCAAATGTACAAAATAAGATTATATTGAAAAGGAAATATGAATAGAAGTCATAGTGCCAGTTGTAATGCGCATACGTCATAGCGGAAATACATGCAAGTTGCCTTAAAATTATTTCGCCTTGTACTTACGTTATACATTATTTATATTTCCAAAAATAGTAATCAAATATGATTAATCATTGATATTTCCTTAAGAAGAAATGCCGATGTGTACTCGCGTGCATTGGCAAACTGCACACGTACAACAATCAATGATTTTATTTAAATACAGTATTTCTAACAATATATTATTTTATGGTTTTATTATTAAATAAAAACTTTATAAATCTTATTATTAAAATTAATTTTTTCCTGTTATCTGATTGTATAGATTATTTTATTGATTATATACTGTATATAATTAAAATTTTATATATTATTAAATATACTGTTATACTGTATATTAGTTTTTTTAAAATAATTTTTTTGTTATTTTATTTAAGCAAAAATGCATTTAATAATAATTATTGTTATTAACTATTATAATTAAATATATTTTAAAAAAATTTACTATTTAAATATTCAAAAATTATTTATAAAAAATATTATATAATGATATTATAAAAAATTTTTAATTAATAAAATCTTATTACTGTCCATAAAACAATTTGAAGAATATATTTTAAAATTATTATTTTTTTCTATTCATTTTTTTTTATTAAAACATGATATTTAATAATAAAAAAAGTAAAATATTATTTTTATTACTAACAATAAAAATTTTTAAAGAAAAAAAATCAACTATAATATATTTAAAAAAATTTTTTTTTAATTTATAATTATATATTTTTTTATATTAGAAAGATATTTTTAAATAGTTTTAAAACTTATAATAATTCAATTTACTATTAAAAAAAAATTTATTTTGCATAGTTATTTGTTATAAAATTAGATACTAATATTTAATAAAGTTTACTAAAACCTATATTTTATAACTATATTATAATATATTATACTTTTTTTTTAAAACCCTTAGCCAAGCCAGTACTGTATGTTTATTAATCATATGAAAACTGATTGAGATACATAGGGCAATTGCATCATGGCTAAACTAAAAACTATACTGACACACTCGTCAACAGCCATCAATTCTCAAAAGAGTTTTAGCCTTTAAGTACAACCTTAGTGATAATATTTTGCTCTAAACTAAGTTTTGGGTAAAGACCCTCCTAACTTACCCATTATTGTCAGCAGGTTGTCACTACTTATTATCCTCCAAGGAACTGAACTCAAGAAACTACAAAAGGGGAAAGGAAAATAAAAGGAAAGGGAAATATCTAAAAATGTGTAAATGCACATATATGAAA